GATCGTCTCCTGTGGATCAGGGTTCTATGAGAAACACCCTAATCCTGACTGCGACTGGAGAAATCCAGAGAAATTGTTGTCTGAGCGGAATTGTGGAGCTTTAGTCACCGACTGCAAATCGGCATATGATTTGTTGACCAGAACGGCTCTACCACAATGCTCTGAACATAGGACGACGATTGAATGCCTCTTGATCCGTGAAAGACTCCGCAACAACGCGGTAGTACGGTGGGTATGTTCTCAGGCAATGCTGGCTGACTGTTTGACGAAGACTATGGACAGCAGTGCACTTAGAGAGTGTCTCCGTACCGGAAGATACGTTCTTCAGGACGAAAGCCATGCATTGAAGGAACGTCTCACTTCCTGAGAACGCTTGAAGTGGATCAAGCGGCAACGTGCAGAAGATGCACCAACTACAGAACAAGCCATGTATGTAGATCAGTCCGGCACGACAGGTCAGCTTTTGGAAGCGCGGGAGGAATGGAGAGGTGATTCGTGTGCACAATAGACCTCGATACCAGCTGTCCACACCTGTTGGGGTGACCGATTGTCCAGTCGACCTCAGGGACCTTGAGGTGTTTAGGGATACAATCAGGAGTGGGGGTACAGGTGAAAGAAGTTTTTGGGTAGGAACGTGTGCACACCAACGAACACCGTTTCCATGGCAAGGCGAGACCTGGTTTTATCCAATAAAGAAAGTTAGAGGTGTGTGAAGCTCGCAAGCTGAACCAAGGGTCTCGCCGATTCCTCGCGTTGCGTCATGTGTTCAACCCACTGACAGGGTGGGAGGGAGGACCGTAGTTGACAGAAGGAAAACAGAGTGTGGTCACCTGTTAGGTCGGACAGGGTTCCGTAGGTTTTCTTCAATGAAAGATTAACAGTATATGTATATATATATATATATGTATAGACATATAAGTCTTCCTGTGCTTGGTAATGAGCTCTATCATAACAAGCACGTGGACACTTTCAGCAAAATATCCTAGTCCTCCTTTTTTCATTCATATAGTAATGTAGACATAGACTTGAGATTGAAGGATTGATTGGGCTCCTAGAATCTTGCAAGCCAGGTTCAAGGTGGACCAAATGGAAGGTCTTCTTTGGGTAGGCTGCGCAAGGTGCGGAACGGTTGAACATTGAGACAAAAACGACTTGAGAAATCAGAATCGACCCCACTGCGGCTGACAGCAGCTCTTTTGACTTGTTTGAAGGCACCATCCAGAGAGACTTCGCCTAAGCGGGAGTCCCAGAAATGGTACCCAAGTGAAAGAGCAGATTGGCGAGCCATCCAAATGGCGGTATCAAATTTTGAGGTCTGCAGCCCGCCCGGAGAAGCAATCTCCCCACTCCCCAGGCGAGGTGAAGAGACTTTTATATTTTTTTTTCCATGGCCAAGTCGTCAAACAAGACTGAGGTTGTCTCAGCATTTGTGCTCTTTAGGCAGTGTGCGTCTTTTCTCGATCTGTGCGGCCACAATTTTTCTCGCCAATTAGCGCTGACACCCCACCCTGGTCTTGTTGTTTGTCACAGGTCGAGCAGTGTCGCCCCCCAGCTCCGGCCATAGCATGTGGTGATACAACGCTTCATTTTGAATGGTCTGAAATAGTTGTATGCTGGTAGTCCAAGGTGCGTTCTCAGCTGACACGACAGCCAGCCAAGGTGCTCGATTTGAAGTGCACATACTGCAGGCATTTAAGCTAGAAAGCAAGTCAATTCTTATTCAAACAGTCCAACAGGAGGAACTTTTGCTCGCTTGTGTTAGCATTCATCATGAGTCGAGGTGAGGGTCGACACAAGACGCCGTTCAGAGGCTTGAGCGCAAGGAAAACATTTCGAAGCATGGTGACTCACCCTCCGTTCCCATTTTGTGTGGACAGTCAGCATCAGTACTTGCAGTAGGAAATATGCAACAGTCTTTAGAGAGGCTTCTCCACAATAATTTTCCTTCCAGAAATACTGTAATTCTTCAGAGCTTGGCTTCTGAGAGCAAACACAGTTGGCATCTACTTGAAAAAAGGCAACGCAGTTCAAAGACCAAAGACGAAAGACTTTGATCAGCTCTGATTCTTGTTTAATGGCGTTTGCAATACCCGTACTTTTTGCTCTCCTTAAGCTGTGTTCTTTTGCACGCCACTTCAGGGCGAGAAGCACTGCAAAAACCTGGAGAATCAGACTTTCAATCCCCAGGTGCGTGAAAGCTGAGCAAAATTATGCCAGCAATTCTAATTGTCCTGAGAAATGGAGATGGCTTGCAATACCAGATCCTTGAAATTTCTCACAGAGTCAGCCTTTGGCAGTTTCCTTTGCTCCTAGTTATAGTTAGTTTGTGCCTTTTTGGCCACCATGACCATGCAATAGAACTGTACAATCACTTGCTCAAACTCTCTCCTTGCGCCGCACTCTTGCCAACATAGTAGGTGAGGTATGAGCTGGAGAAGCGGCATCCTGAGTCTGTTGTGTCGCTGAGCTTCGGAGGACTGGTGCATTTGACCCAGTGGATAGCAACGGACGCTTGATACAAAGTGCAGTCGAGTATATAAAGGAATAAACATCACAATCAGCGGCAGACCCAAGGAGCTGGTTTTCTATTGTTTGTGGTGAGCAGACTAGGCTCTGGCAGAAGGTGGACAAGCTGGCAGAAGAGGCCACGTAGCTGGGCACATGCAGAACCACTTGCCCTGTTTGCCCCTGACACTTGGCGATCATTCAAGCAACGTGTAGGCTTTGTTTAATTCAATCTGTGGAGGTGAAGGAGGTGAAGAGATGATGTATGGCTCAGTTCTTCCATTGGAGTTTGTCTATCATATGGCTGGCAGTCTTTGTTCTCAAAGCATCTAAGCAAGTGCGGCTGATGGTTTTGAGAGAACTTTCAAAGCATGAATGGTCCTCTTCGGAACATCATGATGCAATCAAACACCTTCTAAAAGGCTCAGGTTCTCACAGACAATCAACATATCAGGTGGAACGAGAGCGCTCAGAGAAGGAAGAGTTAAGGCCAGGGCCAGTAGAGCAAAGCACGTATGTCTCAGGGGGCGGGGCAAATGAGCTCGGGATGTGGTTCTAATTCAGGAGCTCAATGATATTTAATAGCTATTTTTGTTGTGCTTCACGAGGCAAGAGAATCAGCAGCTGCAGCAACGCCCAGGATCTCAGACTACGCGAAGTCAGTTGCTGGAGGGATGCGACGGGGTTCCTTGTCGAACACGTTACCCCGTGCCCCAGACCAAAGACAAAGTTCACATGTTTTGTCCAAGAAAGTCGCCTGGAACTAGGTGTCCTGAAAAAGCCTTTTTAGTTGTTTGTTTTTGGGCTTCTTGCATTAACCATCATAGGTTGAACCTATCACTATTTATCGTGGTGGTGTTTATTCAGTTGCGAGACAGAATTCAAGATTTGCTTGAACATCTTGCAAAAGCAAGAGTTTGCAACAATTCATGTCAACTGACATGAGACCTTCTCTGCTGCTATAAGGACCGTCACACACATGGTTGCAGAGACGGAGACTGCTAGTTTGCAATCCCGATATTCAAATCCTCGAGGAGTTTGTTCCAGAGAATTGCCACCCTCAGGCTTAGAGGTGCTTAGCAGAGCTTGGCCCCAAGACGCCAACTTCTTGACCTGCGATTCTGCAGATTCCCAATCGACATGACAAACGGTTTTGTGGCTGGTTGAGCTTTTCATAGATTTGATGGCAGTCTAGCGGTTTCTTGGTGCTTCCCTGTCATTGTCATTCTTAGAAGCCTTGAAAGAAAAGTCACATAACATACACTCCATGGATTCAGCCAGAGGCAGATGCAGCTCGCGGAGGGGCCAGCAGTGTGCCAGTAGAGGAGCTGGGGCTGGCAAGAGGGTGAGGAGTCTCGAGACATCTTGAATGTAGCAGGAACAGATGAATTTCATTGGTTGGTTTCTCTGACGCTATCAGACTTTCATGCTGTAGACTCAGGCGATTGATATATTTGTCAGTTTGACAGACAGACCAGACCTGGAGTCTGAGACACTGCAACCTGCTCCTGAAACAAATTGCTGAATAGTGTGGACACTGCTTCACATCCAGGAGCCTACATGGTATCGCAACAAAAGTGGGACGGAGGCCAGAGTTGGGAACCGACATCAGGATGAGTTGGCAGGTTGACATGCCTAGGACATGGAACAAAGCCGTGGAGTCGCACGACGGATCCAGGCGGGTAGCATTTTGGAATCCACTGGGCCAGGTGTTCCCCAAAGACCTTTGTCAAAAAACACACACAATTTGTGGAAGCTGGCCAGTGACAAAACATATATCATGAGGCAACGAATGAGTGGGTTCCGATCTTGGACCCAGTATGAGGGCGCAGGGTCCTAGACCTTAAGTTTCCCTTAAAATCTAGAAACCAAATCATTAGTGCGAGCGCGAGCTGTCCTGCTTCCTAAGTAGTAGCGTCCTGTATCTACTAGCTAACCGGGGGGAAAGAAAAAGGATCCGAGTAGCGATGCCTTTTGTTACTAGTAGCTTCTTGTTCCTAGTAGTAATGCGTTTCCGTTACCAACCACTTTGCCGCTTGGACCTAGGAGATCCGAGTGTCCGAGGTCACCCCGATCGTCGCGACGGGGACTGAGAAGAGCAAAGAGAAAAGACGTCATTTGCACAACGTCACATGGCGCAGGTGTCTTCCTCATGGATGGAGGATGTTGGTTTTCAAGAAAGCACTGCTATTGCCGCTATTGCTGAGGCCAAGCCCTCCAAAGTCCTTGAATGCCTTTCGGCAGGTGCAGCTGATGCCGCAAGCTCTTTGTCAAAGTCCGTAGCACTGAAGACTGGTAACGGTGACGTGAACAGTAATATCTTCTTAGTCTTACTGATTCCTGTGATTGCTGGTCCTTTTCGATACAGATTATGATGAATACAATGCGGCTCCGTTGATTCCTCTATTTTCTGCAGAACCACCATAAAGCTTGTATATCAGTATAATTATATATATACATACATAGACTTGAAAACGGTCATGTATTTTTTTTGCAGTTCTGCTCAATCAGTGCCGAAGCACAGCCTTTTGTTCCTCTCGTCCATCGTCGTGGACTTGGCGAAATGAATGGTGAACGCTCACTCCAAACAAATTACTGTTAACATATGATGGGCTCACATAACAGAGCATTTTCCAAGCAGAAAGTTCAGCAGAAGTTCCTTTAGCTTGTTGGCCTTGGCGCCTGAGGCTTTGCTTAGCCACAGCTCAAAGAGATGTTGCCTGGCAAAAGACCGGGTAAGGCTTAACAATCCTCATGGGATGTGGGATCCTTGACAACCACGCACCGGAGCAGACTTTTTTACTGCTTAAGAGATGCAGCATAGTGCTTGATGGTATCAAGAACACCTGTCCAATCCTGTTGCAAAGTCCCCAAGTGGACGCTGCTGCCTGTCTTGAGTGCTCAAACCTGCGGTGCAAGGGGCTTGCAGATATCCAACAACAGTCAAGCTTCGTGGGACTCAGAGCATCAACGCTCCTGAATCCTTGGGGGTGGAGGGGTCGACATGCCAAGATTAAGAACACCAGATTCTTTTCTGAGGTTTTGTGCTACTTGCTGCGCTGGACCGGACAATGGCGAGCTGGACTTGTCTGCAAAACCATTGGTGGAGGCAGGTGAATGGGCGTTTGCATACTACTGAAGGAAGGCTGCCACATCCACCATCATTCGGCGTTCGAACACCGGTTTCAATGTGGTTCTTGGGCACAGAGATAGTTGGACTGCAGATCCTACGGAGTTGAATTCGGGGCTCTGCGTGAGCTCTGCCAGCCTGAGTAACAGGGGAGCACTAGCAATTTTGAAGGTGATTTTGGAGGTGACTTTGAGCACATGCTTATAGCTGCTTGCATCTTGCTGAGAGTAGAAACTGTAAAGGCAAAGATTCATCTTTATCCTCGCAGGCCAAGGGAGTGCTTTCCAAGTTTCTTGGCAAAACATGGCAAGCACTTCTAGAAACCAAAGACGACTCTCTGCACAATCTTAGGTAGCTTTACTTGAACAAGCGAAGCAACCATTTTTCAGCAAAGTTCATTATGGAGGTTTTGCAAGGTCAGCACGCTCACTTTCTCGCCGACCGGATCTTGTTTTCACTGGTTGCTTTCGTTAACGCCGGTGACTCCAAGGGATCAAGTGAAGCCAGTTGCCGCCTCAGCGTGTGAACATCATTTGTCGCCGATTTCTTTGTCGAGGATTGTCGATGGCCGAGGATTCGTCTGTCTTTGAAGTTAAGCTGACCTTTGAGGCGCTCCGGTCAAGACGTCCGTCACGTTTTGCTCCGGTCAAGTGCTTGCCGAAGCTTGCCCAAGCTGAGGGGCGATCCCATGGACTCAACATTGACACCGCCAATGATGAGCAGGCTATCGTCAAGGACGCTCATGATTGGCTCGGGAAAGAAGGTGAAGCCAAAATGAGATCTCTTTGTTCCCCACATCTTAGTGTGGGGTTCTTCTTTTCTATGTCTCATCGCTCCTCCCGCTCCTCCCGCCACACCCACAGAGACACACCTCCCGCCACTCATCTCACACACCACTCATCTTACACTACTCATCACACACCACTCACCACACACCACTCATCTGACACCACTGACTCATTGACTCCGTTAGAGGGTCTGGTGGTTGCGTGGTTGGCTCTGGTCGGCTCTGGTCGGCTCTGGTCGGCTCTGGTCGGCGGAGTAGCTGTGGAGCTAGAAGCTGAGAACTGGCGACTTTGTAGTACAAGTTCTAGTACGCGGAGTAGCTGTGGAGCTGGAAGCTGAGAACTGGCGACTTTGTAGTACAACTTTAGTACGCGGAGTAGCTGGGGAGTGGGAAGATGAGAACTGGCGACTTTCTAGTACAACTCTAGTACGCGGAGCAATCCGTGAGCTGGAGCCGGAGAACTGGCGACTTTGTAGTACAACTTTAGTACGCGGAGCAATCTGTGGAGCTGGAAGCTGAGAACTGGCGACTTTGTAGTACAACTTTCGTACATTATGCCCCATATTGCGGACGTGCGACAACCGCTGGTGTTGTTGGCTAGTTGTGGCTGCGCACACCTGTGTGCACAATAGCTCGTACATCTGTCGTGCACATCACTCTCTTACACCTTCTCTCCCACCCCTCTGTTGTCGGAAGCTGATATCACTTCCTGACAAGGCCGTCTTGTAGAAGCTATTGAGACTCTGACTGCTTTGTGCTTTAGAAACTTAAGATTCGTAAAGATTCATATGTGGGGTTATCCGGTCCTTTAATTTTCAAATTGTCAAAATGATCCGTTCGTTCCATCATTGGCAAGCAGAACCATCTTCCAGCTCTGAGGGCAGATGAGTCTGGAAGCGAGAAGTCATTCCTTTATAAGCCATTGTGTAGTCCATTGTCGCATTGCATTGATTTGCATATTTTTAGCAATGATGTGGACATATGACATGACATGTGAGATCCCTTTCTTGAATTGATCTCTGAGATGGGTACAAAAAGACCACCAGTTTGAAAGTGCCGAGAGTAGTAGTAGTAGTAGTAGTAGTAGTAGTAGTAGTAGTAGTAGTAGTAGTAGT